TAAATTAATAGGGAATTTGGTAAGAAGCAGAACTGAGATATTAGAAAACTTAAAAGACCCCTCTTCTAATATCTGAGTGCTTAATAGGGCCTGGTATTTCATCACTGAATAGAATTTATTTCAGTATCTTTTCATTAGATTTTTATGAATCTTAAGTACACTTTATATAAATTTTCTGGAATAATTTTCTGTATATCAGTGACTCCAGAAATTGGCATTTAATGGAAAAATCAAATACTAATAAATGCCAGATTAAACACAGTACCTAAAGAAGTTGTTACCCCTATTATTCCTGGTGTTGTGTAGATCAGAGATTCTGAGTGACAGTTACACTTTAATTTGAAAATTTAATTGGCCTCAACTACAAAGGAAATTTTAAACTTCCCCACACATTTATAAAGTTAAAGGCATTATTTTGTTACAAAGATGCATATTCAGTTATTTCATTGAGACCAGGTAGGGATAGAAATCTTTCAAGATATATGAGAAAGCATTCTTTATTTATACAACTATTTGCAGGATCAATCTCAGTACAACATAATTCATGTAAATTAATAATTTTCTGCCTTCCAATGCTCAGGCTTCTCTTTAAAGAACTCAGTTGAAATACTGAACCAGTGTAATCTTTAGATTTAGTTTGGCATCAGTCTAAATTCCAGAATCTTGCCAAGTATAAAGGCTTTTCTTGTCTTACATAGGAGGAAAAAACACTGGCAAGGCAAGTAAAAATCTCCATTCTGTAGTTAGATACTTTGCTCTTATTCCTTTTAATAAAAATGCTGGAGTTTTTATAATCTCCTGAAACATCTACAGGATTAGGGACAGATCAAATGTTCCTCCTGCCTTATGCAACAACAAGGTACTTATTTCATTAAAACAATATAAATCACAGAGAGAAGTCATGGCTACTCATTCAGCTCACTAACAGCCCAGGTCCCACTTCCCTTAGCAATTTTCTATATTCTTGTCATTCCATTTAATGGACATATTAATATATCTTATTCTTCATATCTTACTTAAAAGTGAACAAAACACACAAATCACCTGCAGATGATTAATATTACAGCAGTTGCTTTGAAAGCACAACAGCAACTATCACGTTTGAGAAAAACAACACATGAAAGAATGAGAATGCTAAATAAAAATCATGTTACTTGTCTGAGTTAGATGTTAAAGACAGAATAAAAAAAGAAAAGTTCACCCTTCACAATGAATTCTTTAGCACTGCTGAGTTTGTCTAATTTATTTGCTTGAAGACAGGAGTTGATGAAGCATAAAACAATATAAACTAACAATATTTGGCACTGAATCTTTAAAATAGTAACAGATGCCGTGCTGGTTTTGGCTGGGGTAGAGATCACCTTCTTCAAAGTCTGGATCTGTGTTTGGATTTGTGCTGAAAATAATGTTCATATAATACAGAAGTTTTTGATATTGCTGAGCAGCATTTACAGTGTCAAGGCTTTTCTGCTCCTCATCCCACCTGACCTGCAAGGAGGCTGGGGGCTCTCAAGAAGCTGGGAAGACACACAGCTGACCCCAAATACCGATGGGATATCCCAAACCATGCAGTGTCATGCCCAGCACATAAAGGAGGAGACATTTGGAGTGACAGCATTTGTCTTCCCAAGTCACCATTCGCTATGATGGGCCCTGTTCCCGGGAGAAGGCTGAACACCTGCCTATCCATGAGAAGCAGTGAAGACATTCCTGATTTTGCTTCTCTTCCATGCACAACTTTTGCTTTTGCTATTAAAGTCTCTTGTCTCAGCCCACTGTCACTATTCCATCTCTCTCCCATCCCAGGGTGCAGGAGTGAGTGAGTATTGTAGGGGGCTTGGTTGCTGGCTGAGGTCAAACCAAGACAGATGCACTGCAGTATTTAAGACTTTTATACACATACTGCTTACTTTTAACTCATCAGCTACTTCATATATCTGCACTCACAGAAAGCAAAAGAAATTAACAAGCTGAGCTATTCCTAAATGGCTGAAACCCAGCTAAGCTGAAGGCAGGGATAATGAGGGAAGAATTTCACCAAAGTCAGCAATATTTTAATTTACAATGTGTACTAGACGAGTTTGCAAACAAGAACTTCCTATTTTTTGTGCTACATGAAGCTGAGGCTTTAAACAAGCTCTCAAATTCTTAAACCATGCAAAGGAACAAATTTCCAAAGCCCAGTTTAGATGCTCCTTAAAAAAGTTATCACAGAAAAAGGTAGGAATTATAGTAAACAGCAAAAGCCAAACTGCAAGAAGTAAATGGCAAAAATCTGAATTGCCATGCAAATGACAATGTTTCCCACCAAGTGTCTAAACCATCACTTTTGTTTTTCAGCAACAAGATAATTTCAGATTTTTGTGTTTTTTTTAAATTTTTAAATAACCCACTCTTTTCCCATATCTGATGTATTAGAAATAAATTCACACTGATCTGTGCTGAAGTCTTTTTAAACAAACCCTGAAGTATTTTCATGCAAGTCTTAGTTGGAATTCACACATCATGAAAGTTTGAAAAAAAAAAGGCTTATGGGACAGAAAGATGGATCAACAAAGACATTGTATCACTGTTTCAAGAGAAATTTTGACTGGATTAAAAATATCTGCTGCATAGTGGAGTGTGTGTAAATGAGATGCTGTTTTTACCAGGGCTGCTGGTATTTAAGATAATTCATCTCAGAAAAGATCAATTCTGAAGTAACAACTAACACCCCGTCTCTATTTTAAATTCCTGTTTTAGAGCACAGAAAAGAGGCTTGTGCCTTTACCAGCTGGTAACATAAGAAAGCTGTTGCTAATCACAGCCTTTCATATTCTTTTCCTGTTGTCTGCACCAGACTGTGGACACTTGAGTAGAGACAATTTCATAAGGCTTATTCTGCAACTTCAAGAACAATTTAGCCACTAGAAGCCTTTTGTGTTAACTTTTGCTCAAACCTTAAAATGCTGCTGCTGGCTCTACAGCTGTCACTGAAGCTTAGCCTACAGACCATATTAAGTTTTTAGGCCAAAGGTTCCCTTGGAGCAATTTGTGTTTTTACATGAAGTTAAAGTAAGTGCAGATGTTTTCCAAGAGCTCATTCCTAAACACAGAGCCTGTAAACTGTTGTTTTACATGGTTTTTAACTGGGCAGAATATTTTTTCAACAATTTTATACACTTGGACACTTTCTGCATATTTACAGAATGCTGCTTACCTAGCACTGCCCAAAAAAGCTTATCAGCAAACAATGAATAAATGATTTATAACAATGATCTTTCAAATTGAAATTACTCCTAAGTGAAATAATATTGTAATTGTCTTGGCTGTTTATAAATACAAGTCTGATCAACTGCTATTATTAACGTATTCTACCAAATATATAAAACTAATCCTCCTAAATATTTTCTACTTTTTTTTTCATTATTTATAAAGCAAGCTGAAGCAACTGCTGTGTGCTGATTTGCCTAATGTATACAATTATCCAGAAAAGACAAGACACTAGATCACAGCAATCAGCTGCTTGATACTAAGTGTAAATGCAGTCCTTGAAAGATAGTTCCTAGAGACAGTATCAGGAAACCTGTAGTTCTGGGAATAATTCCATGCCAAGCACAGAATATTGCTAGCAAATCAACTACAGAAACCCTGCAAGAGATTATTCTGCATTACTGAATGAGTATTTCATTTCCATCACACTGAGTTCTTTTGCTCCACCACTAAAAAGCTGTAAAATATGCCTTATATCTTTTACTATTCATTAATATGGAACGTTCATTAAAGTAAATGAAGCTAATTTAATCACATTCAGGTGCTATATTGGATAGATGATAGTGCTTTGTCTTTTAAATAGTTTGTCTTTTATTCTACTACCTTCATCAAACAGTATTCTGAATAATTATCACACTGCTGTTACAAAGTTACAGCACTATTACATCCTGAATAAGAACTTCAGGTCACCTACAGCATTTACACAAAATACCACAAATCAAGGCAAAGCACCTCAGGCTATGCAGTAAGAAAGTAATTCCTTATAGCACTGTATGTGTTCCTAAGGTCTTTAACATTTGGATTATTACATTATCTCAGTTTTATATTCACTACTCAGGAGGTAAGTGTCAGCTGGAATCATTGAATATCAATTTTTTTTACACCTTTCATTTTGTTTGATGAGCTTTTTACCAATTGTAATTTATTGCTCTGATGAAAGCATAAAGCAAAAAGCTCAAAGTGTAATCAAGGCTAATGGTGAACCATGTACCATGTGATAATAAATCAGCAAGGAAAAAATACACTGGAGATAGAGATGTTTATAATTTCAGTATGAATACTATTGGAATAACTGTTTATGTAAAATAAAAACTATATAAGAAAACCAAACAAACACCTAAGTTCCAAAAACCTAATAATCTCTTATAAAATATAAAACCAAAAACTTCCCATGAGCAGCTAAATTTTGCAAGAAATAAAATCCTTTTTCTGCATTAAAGTATGTAGCAATGAGAACTAATAAGAAAGTCTTAGATGCTAAAACATTTGACTTTTATCAACAGCAAGGAACATTGTCAGGAACAGCCTGCAGTAATCCTGACACTTGATCTTTTAAAACTTACTACACCACAGAAAATCCCCCACCTCTTTTAAGAGGAAGCTTTTTGGAGTTACTGGAACCTTTTTTTCTTGAGCAACTGGTATTTTATTTTATAAAAGGATTATATATGTAAAAAAAGAAAAAAAAAGAAAAAACAAACTGAGAAAAAACTCAGCAGTTTGCATAAGATCAAAACTTACCTGAATTTGAAAAAAAATCTCATTCACTTTAATTGCTTTTCTGAAAGGCCCCAAGACAGAAGTTAAAACATGTAAGAGCTAACATGTAACAGGTACATTTATATAGGATTTTTTTTTTTTACTACCACAAAGCCTGCATATTATGACTCAATAAAAATGGTTGTGTGCAACTTTTTGATAATTTTATTAATAAATATTAAACAAGTGTTAGACTAGATTTACAGTACCTTTGGATATTGCTTGACAGGGATCAGAACTCTCTCTGACAGCTTTATGTTTTTGTTGCTGATAACATCAAGATATTTCTTTTCTTCATCTTCTTTCTTGCCTTCTGAACCCTGAAATTTTTCCATTTCTGAAAAATATCACAAATCAGAACAATCAGTGACATGGTGGTGTCATCCTTAGGAAGTTTAAGCTTACACATTCCGACCCAGACCGTGCACTGAACACCTGTGCTGCTGCACTCAGGTGACAGGGACTGCTGTCCTCAAGGGAACCTGGACTCTCAGCAGTGCTGGGAGGCAGAGGTGACAGCCCACAGGTCACACTCCACAACTAATTCTTCCCCAGCTGAAAGGGAAGCCAAATGATCTCAGCAGGAGCAGGAATAGATGAGGCTTACAATTCCAGCTGTCAGTCTTTTAAAGGGAATAACATCATCACAGCTCGATGCTTTTTGTAAATGTGACCTGCCAGAACTAAGCTGGATTCTAACTGCAATAGCTAACTTTCAGTATAAATACTGGAAAACTGAAGAAACTCCTTGTTGTTACTGAGTTTCCATTCAAATACTTCTGAATTAGTTAAAGGTTATACAAAAGAAGATAAGAAATAGTTAACTCTTGCTCAAAACAATTCTTCAATTAAGAAATGCAATAAAGATCATTATACATACATATATATATATATATATATATATATATATATATATATAATTTCACTATTAAAAAAAACCAAAAAATATACAAATATACTCAGGTAGAATAATTCTGAATTCTTTATTCCCTAAAGCTCTATAACCAATGGATAATAACAAATAATTGAATTCATCATCCTGCAAAGAGCATCATATACAGTGCCTGAGAGCTTCCTGACAGCACAGGTACTATTGAAAATCTGCTTTTGCAGCAGTGACATTGCTGACAGCACAGAAAATGGCAATGCTTATAATGAGCTAATTATAACTGAATTACAGCTGAAAAGGGACAGCTGTGGGTCTCAGAACCATGCTGCTTCAAGGATAGGAAAGCAAGAGTGGAAAGGAGGAACACAGCCACAGCATGCTATAACATTCACATACAAGTTTCTTTGACTTCCAACAAGCATAAAGATAAAATGTGTTGAAAAGAACAGCCCATGTCATGATTTGTTAATAAATGTTTACGCTGCTTTTATGAGATCAAATAATTTATTTAAAGCCTGCACCAGCAGACAGTTCTCTAATGTTACAGTCATAAGCTTTTTTAAAACCTCCCAGAGAACACACCTAAAAGACTTCAGATGGGATATATATTCAATAATTTAGGATTAAATTCAATTACAATCACTAAAAGCATCAGAAGAACATTTCATTATTGTAAAATACTTGAACACATAAAAAAATGTGGTATGTTGCATTCAGTGGAAGATTAATCTGGAAAGCAGCAAGCATCAGTTAAGTAAGTAAAATACTCATTTTGGGCAAGTTTAATAGAAAAAAAGGTCTTTGAAAATAGATCCAATGCAATTACACAAAGGGGTGTGCTATGGGGGTATAGAGGGGAGAGGCAAAGGCACATAAAGAGGGAAAGGTGTTACAAGCACAGTAAGTACTAAATGAAATAAAGGAAATTTCCCAAATGTATTGTGAACACAGCACTAAGATAATTCTAAAAGGCAGGTAGGGAAAATCAATCTACATGTACACATATATTCCATTAGAACTATGGAATAACATAAACTATGGAAGTTTAAATTGGAGAAGACCTTTAAGGTGATCAAGTTCAGCTGTTGATCAAGCTCTGCCAAGTCCACCACTAAATCACATCCCTAAGCGCCACATCTACACATCTTTTAAGTACTTCCAGGGACAGTCATTTGACCACTCCCCAGGGTAATCTGTCCCAACGCTTAGTAACTGTTTTTGTGAAGACATGGTTCCTGCTGTCCATCCTGAACTTCCCCTGACACAAGCCTGAGGCTGTCTCTTCTCATCCTGCCACTATTTGCCTGGGAGAACAAACCAACCCCCACCTGACTACAACCTCCTTTCAGGTACTTGAAGAGAGCAATGAAGCTCCCCCCTGAGCCTCCTTTTCTCCACACTAAACAACCACAATTCCCTCAGCTGCTCCTCATCAGATCTGTGCACCAGACCCCTCCCCAGCTCTGCTGCCCTTCTCTGGATTCACTCCAGCCCCCCAAAGTCTTTGTGAGGGGCCCAGAACTGGACACAGCACCCAAGGTGCGGCCTCAGCAGTGCTGAGTACAGAGGAACAATCACTGCCCTGCTCCTGCTGGCCACACTATTGCTGATACAGGCAAGGATGACATTGGCTTTATAAACAACTAAACTCTTTCTCCTGGAAAGCTGAAGATACTTAAAAGTCTGTATGGTCAGTTGGGACGGGTACTAAAGGTTAGGACAAAATGCTCCACTTTGAATCATATATCAGGCCTTGCAACCAGCCCCACCCTTGTGCTTTGTTTTTGACTGACAGTACATGGAAGTTCTGAAATGAAAGTGGTGTCTTTGCTGAAGCTAATGCAAGACTAAGTCAGCTGGGCTTATCAGACTTATGTGAACAAGAGTTTGTTGATCTACCAAAACTGAGACAAGCTGTGGCACTTTAATTGGTTTCACTCCATGACAAGGGCTGAGCTCTAAACCCAGAAGAGCCAGTCCCAGCTTATTATGGGAGGCACAGGAAACAGCAGTGGGGAGTTGAGTTTCCTCCAGGGAATGAAAGGCAACAGAGAGCCCATTTCAGGGGAGCTCCCGCAGAACTTAAGGTGAAATACAGAATCAAATGAGTAGGGATCAAGATGAAGGCCAGGCTGTGAGCCCAGAATTACAGCAGAAGGCAGCAGGGACACTGGGGACATCAGATATCTACCAGGAAGCAGTGCCAATTAGCACATAGCCACAGCCAGACAGTTTCTGAGTATCATGTCCAAGGTGGGAGAGTCCACAAGCATCCTGACAGTGCTTGGTCACCCTCACAGTAAAAAAAGTTCCCCAATATTCAGAGAGAAGTTCTGTATTCTGGGCACCCCTGAAAAGAACCTGGTTCTGTCTTCTTTGTACCTTCTTTTCAGTTATTGGTATACATTGGAAAACATCCCCTATGGAGTCTTCTCCAGATTGAACAGCCTGGAGGCAACATTCCTAGCCCTATCTTTGTAGAAGAGATGCTCTAGACCCTTCATCATCCTTGTGAACCCTTACTTGACACTCTCCAGTATGTCCATCTCTACTTATGTCCATCTCTACTGGAGAGCTGCACACTGGACAGACTGCTCCAGTGGAGTATCACCTCTTTTGACCTGCAAAGTTGACTGAGGAGTAAAAAATGCCTTGAGCTGGTTTATTTCTAAAACAAAACATAGGGCTGAGTATGATCAGTGTAACCTGTGAATTTATATGAAAAATATGGCATCAGGATTTTGCTTGACAGTGGAGCAGCTGTGTAAGATTTATCTTAGAAGTCTTCATTCCTTAGGGCTGGAGTTTCTGTCTTCTGGGTGTGGTCCTAAAAAGCCCCACGATGTCACCAGGGAGTCATTGTGACACGTGTGACAACAAGCCTTTTGGATGCTTGGAGAAGCTCTGAAAGGCCACAGTGTCTGGCCTCCTCCACTGGGGACAGACATCTGAAGGTGGGGGAAAAAGGATCCCCATCCCATTGTGTGCTTTCTGAGGGCACAGAGAAGATTTGCTGGACAAGCACACTGACAGGTGTGGTGCTGGTCCCAATCTGCCATGCACTCAGGCTCTGTCTGCAGCTGCTGAGAGGCCACGAATTCCTTTCCCAGGCTCCCAGCTCCTGCCTGCACATATCAGAGAGGTCAGTTACCATCTTGCCTCAAAAGCTAGAACATGCCAAGACACTCAAGTGTCACTCATCTGCCCCAGGATGGTCCCTGGGGTGGCAGTCCAAGTGCTGCCTGAGGCAGAGTGGGCAGTTCTTTAAGGCTCGACTTCGGTAGCTTTGCTGCTGGCTGCAGATTGTGTCCCCAGCAACAGGGAACACATCACCTTATCTCTTTAGTTTGCAGGGCAAAATGGCCTCAGAGGAAGACTTGGCAGAAAGTGGCACCTCTTCCCTTGCTGCCAGCACCAGCCAGGTATCTCGGGCTGCCCGTCCAGGTGCTTCGGAGAACCTAAGTTGCCCGATCTGCCGGGCCAGCATTAATGACCAACCTTCCATGAGCTGGCGTTGGCACCCTTTCTGTTTTTACTGCATGGTGGAGTGGTTCCGCAGAAGAGCAGAGGGCCTGAATTGCCAGTCACCTTTCCCACATACATTCCACACGGTGGGAGACAGTAACTCTGAGGTGCACTCTGTAGAGGAGTCCATCAGCTCTGCCAGCCATACTCAAGGAGAGCGAGCTGGGTTGTGCTCTGCGGAAAGAGGTCAGCATAATTCCCCAGGACGCCAGCACCGCAAGTCTTACAGCAGAAGCTGTGGTGGCAGCCATGGTGGCAGCCGTGGATGCAGCCGTGGAGGAAGCCTTGGGGGCAGCCGTGGGGGCAGCCGTGGAGGAAGCCGTGGAGGAAGCCGTGGAGGAAGCCTTGGTGGCAGTCGTGGAGGCAGCCGTGGTGGCAGCCGCAGAGGCAGCTGTGGAGGCAGTCGTGGGGGCAGCCGTGGCAGGGCCCAAGAGAAGAGCCGAAGCAGGTATCCAAGGAGGCATCGTGATGACCACACCAGGGTCCAGCAGGCCCAGGGCTACAACCACTCAAGGAGCAGGAGACGGCAGCAGAGCAGGGCTCGAAGCACTGGTCGTGACAAGGGCCGAAGGACCAAACAGCGCGTCCGTGCCCTCTCAGGGAGGCGTAAGCACCGTCAGCAGGAATTCCAGGTTTCTTTCATAGAACCGAACGCGATTCGGAGCCGATCCCAGCAGAGGTTGCGCAGCTCTTCCAGCCAAGCATTAAGGGAGTATCTAAGGGAGATGGAACGCGATGAGGGACGAGCTCTAAGGGGTGACTGGTTCATCCGTGCCTCTTCTGGGAGGAGCAGGCGCCAACAGCCAGGGCGCCTGCATTCCTACAGAGAAACGCAGGTGGCAAGGAGCCGAACCCAAGGGGGGTTCCGCAGCCCACTGCTCCTGAAGGAGAACCCAAGGAGGATGGAACGCTCTGAGAGACAG